GAACAGCAACGACGAAACTTTGTGGTATCTCGAATCATGGGCAAACAACCATGTGTTGTCACGAGTACCTATTCAAAGAGATGCAAAATATTGAAGATGGTCATGTGTCATTTGGAGATGCGTCAAAGGTGGAGGTCAAAGGCTGAGGTACGATACATTTCTTGCAAAAGGATGGTTTAATAGGGTCAATCCAAGATGTTTATTACGTACCAGACCTCAAGACCAACATATTGAGTATGGGGAAACTTACAGAGAAAGGTTACTCGATATTCTTAAAAGACCATTTGCTAAACTTGAAGGACAAGCAAGGGTGGGTGGTTGGTTGCTCAAGTCGAGATAGGAAGAAATCTGATGTACAAACTGAATTTAAGAAGCATATGAGAAAACTGTTTGCGAGTCGACGTAGAAGACAAGACATCACTATGGCATCTCCACTTTGGTCACTTACATCATGGCGGCCTAAAAAAGCTAGCGAAGAAGAATATGGTGCACGGGCTACCCAACATGGACTACAAAGGAAAAATTTGTGAAGAAAGCGTGCTCAGCAAGCATACGAGAACCTCAATTTAAAACAAGGCTGAATTTTGGGCTAAACAACCTCTCGAGTTGATTCAATACATATATATGTTAGATAAATCCCTAGGTTGAAAATCTCTCTGAAAAATATTTCTATTTTTAGTTTTTAGTTACTCTTTTTTAGTTAACCCCACAATTAAAGTGAGTGGGATTCACACGCTCGAGTTGAATGACTTTAATTTAGGTGTCATTTTCTTTTCTATTGTGAGGATATATTGTTATTTAAATATGCTAATTGAATGATAAACAGACATCGGGTATTCAGCGCATACTTTCTCTTTGTTATTTTTCTGTTAGTTTCTTCTTCCAAGAGTATTCCTTCGACTTTTTCCTCCAGCTTTTTCCTCAAAGATTTCCAACTCAATCAAAACAACAAGTGGTATCAGAGCCTAGTTTAATTCACCGGTGGTATATCATTGCAAAGGAGCCAACTGTATCAAAAGCCAAGTTGAATCGCTCAAATGATTAGAACGTCGACCTAACAACACACACGTCTCAGGTTTAAGTAGAAGAAAATGTAAAGCGTGAAATTACACACATCGTGGGGTCCATCCCGAGCAAGCTTGCTCACTCCTCCACGCCGCCACCGAGGGCCAGCTTCTCCATCACCGCCTCTAAGAGGCCGATGCCATGAAGACAGACGTCGAGTTGTCGTCGAGCGGGTGGTCAAGGAGACAAATGCCTTTGTGCAGTACCCGATGCTGACGTCTCTCTCCACCAAGCGCACCACACAATCGGCCTGGGAGGGTATCAAATCTCGTCGGGTTGGTATGCAGTGAGTGTGGGAATCCAACATCGAGCGGCTGCGGAAGGAGCTCTTAGAGATCCGCTTTAAGAATGGTGAATTCATCGATGACTTTTCAATGCAAATCACAGGGTGCCGCTTCAGCTATCGACAATGGCTTGCACGCCTAAAGATCGGCGAGAGGGGCGAGCAGCATGGCACCATGAGCTTTGTGGGAAAAAAGAGGAAATTAAAAGGAGTTGACTAATGGGGGGTGAGGGGCGAGTGTTCCCTCAGATTGGCGAGAGGGGTGAGCAGCATGAGCACCGGTGATGGGTCCTCGACACAAGGGCAACAAAACTATATGACAGGGGTAGCATGAGCTTGCGGGAAAGAAGGGGGGGATCAAAAGAAGGGGTTGACTGATGGCAAGGAGAGGGGCGAGCAGCATGAGCACCGGTGATGGGTCCTCGACATAGGGGCAACAAAACCATATGATAGGGGTTGCGGGCCCATCAAGCTAGCAACCCCATGCGGCAAGACCCTCTTCCTCCTGCTCGTCGATGACAAAAGCCGCTTCATGTGGCTGATCCTTTGCTGCAAGCGAAAAATGAGGCGGCAGAGGCAATTAAGCTCATTCAGCGGGAGGCCGAATGCGGGAAGAAGATAAGAATGCTGCACACGGACTGAAGCGGAGAATTCACCTCAGTGAGCTCAGCAGGAGGAATGCGGGAAGAAGATGCGAATGCTGCACACGGATTGAGGTGGAGAATTCACCTCAGCGAGCTGACTGATGGCGGGCCAATCTAGTGCTAAAACTGCGGGAAGAAAGAAGGTGTCAACTGCTGGGCATAACAACGGCACCGATTGGGGAGCCAATTCAAGTGAAGGAGGAGCAAGTGTTCACTCAGATTGGTGAGAGTGGCAATCAGCATGAGCACCGACAATGGGTCCTCGACACAGGGACAATAAAACCATATGACTGGGGCTGCAGGCCCATCAAGCCGGCGACATCAGGCGGCAAGACCCTCTTCCTCCTGCTGGTCGATGAGAAAAGTCGCTTCACGTGGCTGATCCTCTGCAAGCAAAAAGGGAGGCGGCAGAGACAATTAAGCGCATTCAAGCGTGAGGGAGGCCGAATGCAGGAAGAAGATGCGAATGCTGCGCACGGATCGAGGCAGAGAATTTGCCTCAGCGAGCTTCAGTAAGTACTGCGACGAGCTCAACATGTAGCGGAAACTAACGACGCCCTACTCCCCCCAATAGAACGAGGTGGTGGAATGTCAAAATCAGACCAATGTCGGGACAACAACATTGCAGATGACAGTCGGGATGCCCAGGAGGTTATGGAGAGAGGCGATAATGACAACCGTCTACCTCCTCAATCTGTCGCCAACACGAAGCCTCGACGGGAAGATGCCACACGAGACCTGGTAGAACAAGAAGCCAGTGGTACATCATCTCCGAGTGTTCGGCTGCGTCGCATACATGAAGGTCGCATATCCCCACCTCGCCAAGCTCGATCCCAGGGGGCTGAAAGTCATCTTCATCGGCTACGAACCCAGGAGCAAGGCGTATAGGCTCTATGATCTT